ATATGAAAGGAAGTTGATTCATTACGGTTTATTGAGACTGCTCTCAAGCAAGCCAGAAAGCGGTGTATCCGTATGCCACAGTGGTAGTGTTTTTAAAGGGGTCATATGATGCGATTTCAAGTTTTCCTTTCTCTTTGGAGTAAGACTATCTACTGTGTTTTCTGTGATTATTACAAATGAACAAAATAAGAAATTACAATGCTAAAATAAGAATGTAATAATGCTATTATAAACTATACTGTAAAATAATTTTACTTCATAGTACAACTTTAAAAGTACAGTAGTACTAATGTGTACATTGTAATTTCTTCATTTTCAAACATTAAACTATCAAGCTTTTTATTTCAGCATTTTTTTATCAAATAAATGCTGGTCTCAGACTGAAGGATGGCACTGTGTTCACTTATACATGCAAATGTAATGTAATTTACACACATAAATGAACAGTGCCACCATTCATTCTGAAACCTGCGGAGAATATATTTAATTATACTGCAGTATTGGTTTTATTCCAATATATTGTGCAGTCCTACAAGGTACCGCATATATCATGCATTGACAACACAATAAGATGCTGCTTGTATGAGGATGATCTAAGCATTACCTTTTCCATGGGAAGCTGAATGGAGGCTTTGCAGTCTGTGAACTCTGCCTTGATGCTGGGGCCTTGAACCTCGGTCACCACATACTGCAGCTTCTGCGACTCCTTCAACATTTTCCGGTTACTTCCTCCAAACTTGCCCAGTACCCGGTAAGCAACATGGGAGATGGTCTCCGCAGGGTTACGAAGTGTTCGCCACAACGCCTGTTTATAAATGCATTATGAAAAACATTTGAATCATTCATCAGGCCTCAGTCAGGTCTAAGGTTAAAGGTCAGAGGTTTTACCTGCATCAGTTCAGCTCGGACTGGCTGGATGTGGTCATATAGGAAGTCAGGCTGTAGGTTGTCCACACAGAGCTCCAGTGTGCGCAGGCCCTGGCTGACCAGAGTCTGGGAACCGTTGAGTGCAGACACCAGTGGGTCCATGAGCATGGGCAGGTAGGGCAAAAGAGAGCTCAGCCGCACAGGGACAGTGAGACACAGCTCCACAAACAGATCCTTCATGTGCTGCTTATGGAGGCCGCTCTGCAGCATGTTCAAACCTAAGAGATGACACAAAGGATCAATACTCGAGGAGGTGTTTTCATGGTGACATGTGGTTTGGTATGAACAACAGAAAATATGAGAAGAGTTGATACTCATTTATTTTGCTACCTCCACAATGCGTTATATGGTTAGCTGGACCCAATTTGTTATTATATTTACCTACGCTATGATGCTTTTAGAATTGACCAAAAAGCCCCTTTGGCTTGTGACCCACCAGTTAAGAACCACTGTTCCGAGGAACTGCTACAGTTAAAGGGTTAGTTCACTGAACTAACCCTTTAATGATCTCACTCACCTTGCAGCAAATTAGGCAGCAAAGGCAGAAACTCCTGGTACAAGAGGTCATGGCTGCCTCCCCCTATTGAGCGGAACAGGGCTCTCAGCAACAGGAAGTAGTTATAGGGCTCCTTAGCAGACTGAGCCAGCTCCATGGAACTGTTCACTATTTTATGAAGGTGAGGCTAAAAAAAAGAGAGATTCAATACATCCTTGAGAAGAAAAATAGAAACTTTTATTCTTCACTGTAAAGTAAGAACAACTGAATAAGTGAGCAAAAGCCATATACTGATATATAAGCCAGGCTGCTTGATTGGCATATATTCAGACATTTTGAGAATTTTATAAGAAATATATTTATTAGTATACATGGATATGACAGACACTTACACTACCGTTCAAAAGTTCGGAGTCAGTGCAATTTTTTAAAATGTTTTTGAAAGAAGTCTCTTATGCTAACCAAGGCTACATTTATTTGATCGAAAATACAGTAAAAAAAAATCAGAAGCCAGTGTGATGAGATCCTTCAGAAATCATTTTAATGTGCTGATTTGGAGTTCAATAAATATTTTTTGTGCTGCTTAATTTTTTGTGGATACCATAATAAAAATGTTTTTCAGGATTCTTTGATAAATAAATTGTTCAAAAGAACAGCATTTATTTAAAAAAGAAATCCTTTATAAAAATGTAAGTCTTTAACTGTCACTTTTGATCAATTTAATGCGTCCTTGCTAAATAAGTATTAAGCAAAAAGTATTAATTTTAAACTTCTGAATGGTAGTGTATGTGTGTGTGAAACAATACAGTGAGAAGTAAACTGCAACCATTAACACACAAAAAAAATACTATTTCAAAACAGTGACACTGAATATAAGAGGATAATTTCAGCGGGCAACAGGATCGATGGGAAGTGAGATACAGAAACCTCTTCCTCTCCACTATTTCAACAGTGACCTTCACTTTGGTCTTTCCTGTCAATCTGAGGCACAAGTGTCATTTCTCATCAGAGGAGCTGACAGAACACATTAAAATTAATGCAGCACGGTTACTGCCGCTGAGGCGTTAGACAGCACAGTGTCATCAGAGCTTGGAGGGTGTGAGCGATCCCTCCGTCCAATCGCTCTGAAAAAATTGTGAATTACCTACTCAATACTCTAAATAAGCACCTTAGCCAACTAAAAGACAAAAAAGGCCACAATTTGCTTCATAAACCTGCATGTGCATAAGACGCAACACTCACCTTGAGCATCTGCTCATTTTCAGCAGCGAAGAGAGACACTGAACCAAAGACCAGTTTGAAGAGTTTGAGATAAAGGTTTGACAACTCTACATTGGAGCCCATTTCAGGCAGACGCTCCAACAGATACTCCACCAAAATTGTGGCAAACAGTGCAGAGGTAGTCAGGTTGGCCAGGAAGGAATTTGCAACAATCTGTTGAAGGATTGAACAGCCATGTCATATCAACAGTCAATAATCTTGTATGTCAAGTCATTTCTTTAGTGAACAAAAACTGCCAGTACCTGTAGGGCATAGTTTTTGGATATGCGTTCCACCATGTATGGAACAGTGGTCTGGAAGATCTCTTTAAAAGTGAGGGGGTTCATCATGGTGAAGACTCCCGCGAAGTGCTCTAAAACCTCCTTCTCCTCCTTCATCCGCACCGTCTGACAGTTAGCCACACGAATGTACGTCTGTCCATTGCCGGCAATCTGTACCTAGCCAAAAGGGGGTTGGCTCTGTCATAAGCTGTAAACTTCAGCTCCCGGTATCAAGTGTGCTCGAATAAACCAACTTTATTATGTTCTCAACATAATGTGACTTTCAGATTTAAACACCTCAGCTATTCTACCAGAAAGTTTAAGTTACTTTGTGTAATGATTTTGTTGTGGTAATCTGCATTAATCAGTGGACAGTCGTACCTGGTAGATGTCCAAGGCCTGCATGGCATATTTGACCAGCTTGATGTAAATCTGTGTTTCTTTGGGCTGGAGTTGCTTGTTGGGAATGAACTGTGCCTCTGTAATACAACAATACCACGGTGAGAATATTCAAATGGGAATGCTGAGCAGAACTAGCCCTTCATTGACTTTGAGACGCTCCACAAGCTTCAACAGTCCAGACAAAGAAAATGTTAAACAGAACCAATATTTAATGACTTGGCACAATCTAAAGCCAAGTAAATGTTAATCCATCTCACCTCCAGGAGCTTTACAAGAAGTGATGCCCCATGTGATAGTTTTCACTCCACATACAAGAGTCTTTACCAGACTGCGACAGTCGGACACCTGGAAGGTCTGTTTGTCCTCCTTGTCCCCAGGTCGATCAAAAGGTGTGGCCGGAGGTGGTGCGGGGGTGACGGGTGTTGGGGGTGCAGGTGGAGGTAAGGCGGGTGTAGTTACAGTAGGGGTGGCTGGGACTCCTGGTAACGCCCCTGGGTCCACCACACCCATCTCTGATTGGGGCTTGCACTTCTTAAAGAGAGATACCAGCTGGTACCGTGCAATGGTGTGGAACTTCAACACAAAAACCTGAGAATAGAGAAGTCATATAATGTCAGATCCGTATATTTTGGGCTTTATAAATGCATTTACATGTGGCCAGTCTTGTATCCTATTGTAATTACAATCACAGCGTAGTTTACACAGGCTAATGTGCCAGTCTATCTCACCTCCAGCATTCTCATGAGAATGTCTCTGCCATTTCCATTCTCCTGTTCGCTCTTTGATCGGATGCAGTCTACGAGGTTTAGCAACAGCTTACAGGACATGGTTTGGATACTGCTGGGTAGGGACTCGTCGTCAATATTCTTAGCAAACAGTTGCACAGCCAGAGAGAGGTCCGTCAATGGGAGGTTCTGTCTAACATGGTGCACCAGGTCTGCTAGCGTGCTGTATGCCAAGGGCCTGAAACGTCAAGAGACTCCATGTTAGACAACAGAATCTAAGCTTTCTAGAGGATTTCTGTTAGGGTTGTGGCAAAACTAAAACTTCTCAGTAGCGATACCATGATAATGTTCACTATTGGCCAGTCTGTTTACATGAGACACAAGTGACTGTGTTTAACCCTTCAGCATGTTTAACTGCATTTGCACACAGCCATTCACAAGATTTTAAGTCTCTAATGGTCTCCAATCTGCACCTATATGACCAATACTACAGTAAAAACAGTAATATTTCAAAATAATTACATTTTTAAAATCTACATGTTTTCCATTTTAATTTTAAAAATGTAATTTATTCCTGTGATGGCAAATCTGAATTTTCAGCATCCATTACTCCAGTAAAGATCATTTCTTACTTCGTTAAGATAATTTCAAATCATCACAGTTGAAAATTCTTTCAGGATTATTTTTATGAACAAAGTGGTAACACTTTATTTTAAGGTGTCCTTGTTACACGTTACATGTACGTACTATTATAATAACAATTAATTATGCATAATTACATGCAAGTAACCCTAGGCCAAAACCTAATCCTAACCATATAGTAAGTACATGTAGTTAATTAATATTACTCAGTACTTAAATGTATTACACTGTAACAAAGACACCTTAAAATAAAGTGTCACCAACCAAGTTCAAAAGAACATTGAACATTTATTTGAAATAGAAATCTTCTGTAACAATATAAATGTCTTTACTGACACTTCTGATCAATTTAATGCATCCTTGCTGAATAAAAGTATTAGTTAAAAAAAAAACTTACTGACCCCAAACTTTTAAACAGTAGTGTAGCTACATTTTATTTTAATTTTATAGTGCTATTGACTTGTTACAGATATCCCTACTCCTGTGGTGTGGAACCTCCAGCCTGAAACTGATCAAAACCAACCCTCAAAGAACAAATAGCTCTCAACCCTGGCTAATAATACTATCTTGGGTCGATACTTGGGGGATTTCAGGCAAAGTTTCAGAATAAACGACACTAATGGCTTTGACAGATTTTGAGTCCTGCCAAATTTGCCTGCTGAAGGCTGACGGAAGCCGTGGATGAACGAGGGGTGGCGTTGGCAGGCATATTACATCTGGGGCAGGGAGACAGACAGTGGGCAATGCCAGGACAGCCTGGCACATGAAGATGGGCACCTGGATCTCTTCTGCCCAGTGGGGCAACTCAGCTCAGTCACGCACCATTAACAATCAATTCTGATCTGCTGCACTTGATGAAATCTAACTTGTCTTTTTTCCCCAAAGAAACTTGGGAGGAAAAGGATTGTGGCCTCTAGCCACACTAAAGAAATGACAATAAAATGAACATTTATTATTATTATTATGGCTCCAATCCAAAATCTAGTCAGCTACCTTGCTGTCTACATAGTCAACTGCTTTCTAAGAAATCAAACAGAACCTTTTAAGTGACTGACTTATAGCCCACTACAAATAAAAAGTGCTTCTCTCAACATTTTGTTGTGAAGCTAACATTACGCTGCATTATAGTTTTAATGTTCTGTTAAGAACAAAACACAGCATGCTCAAATACTGGACATAGGCTGATTTTTTCAAGGGGATGCATGATAGTAATGGGTTGTTCTTGAACGATTCATTTATTTTGAATAAATCTTTAATATGACTCCGGAACAACGAGTTGTCTCAAAGAGTGATTTATTTATTCATTCTATGTTGACCGTGCATGCACAACATCCTATAGGTTCTGTACAGGAAACAGAAATGATTAGTTCATCTCCCGACTAATCAGTTCTGTTTCCTGTACAGACTACATAGCATTAACCTATGGGGATGAGGTGTGACATAAGAACAAACGACTCCGGCCCAGGAGCTGAGGTGAACTAACAGACTGCATAGCCTGCAAACCCAGCTAAGCACTGAAATAATCATTTTTGTTACATAGAATTTGGTCTTGCTACATTATAGTTTTGACTTATTCAACATGTGATCAGTGTTTGTGTATGTAAATGTGTTGAGGAATTTGGATATTAACTTGTAGCGAAATGACTTGAAAAAAGATTCAGAGATTCAAAGAACAGAGTCAGTAAAATGATCTGAACTTCCCATCACTAATGCAAGATGTGTCCGTATCACCATTGATTACTAAGTGTTATTGGATTATTTTTAGTTCTATTGGACGATAATGGAAATTGAATTTGTGTATGCTCATACTTCTCTGTTGTTACATTTAGATGCCATCTAAACCTTAACTTTGCCAACCTATTAGTGTTCATTTATTTTATTAAACTGGATAAATTATTACACCTTTTTATATTTTATGTGTTGTCATGATTTTATAAAATCAAAGGTTTATTATTGCAAGTTCTTTTGGCATTTCATTTATTGTATACCTTTTAAATTCACTTATTGAAAGAACAACAGCAGCAGCAGTATGGTGTAACATTTATTTGAAACACATGTATTTGGTACTTGCTACCTTATATCTTTACTCTTTCCTTTCATTTTCTCTACGTCGCTTTTTGCATAACTCTGGGTCGTCGACACCAAGCTTTGTTGCAATTTCTTTCTAGGAATTAAATGCTTTGTCTGAATCTTTAAAGTCTCTCTGCGAGCGATCGTACAGGTGCGGATATATTTGTGGCAGCTCAGCTATTCGACACAGTGTATTTATGTTGCTAGTGACTTGGAGATGTTGTTCTCCTGCCTGACCTCCGTTGAATGAGAAACGAACTGGGGTGGGGGGCATTCTGGCACTCATCACAGAGTGCCAGAAGTATGACAAAAAAATAAAAATCGCACGTCAAAGAGGGTGGAGTTCCAGAACACACCCACCGACTGCGTAATCGCCACGGACCAATGGAATCTCAAAGGTGTGTAGGAGCCAAAACGAACTCCTCCAGAAAGTTTGCTTTGGTGAGCTGTTTTGAACTGCTGAAACGAACTCAAAACGAACTTAGTTTCGGCCTGATTTTGTTCGAAATTACATCATATCAGTTCGTTCTTCAATTTCGTTTGAAGTATATCGGGGCCTTTAAGTGGATCTGCAATGCCTTGCAGCGCTGCCTAACTAGGCTTTGGAGGTTAAATGTGTGCCCTGCGAATTGCACAGACTGCTTATACATGAAACATAATATTGGTTTAGAGGGGGTTAATCTGCATTCTTACCTTAGCGTCTCTCTTGCAGTGTATCCTGAGCCAATGAGTATTGACTCATCGAAAAGCTTGTCCATGCATGGAATGAATTCTGCAACACAAACAGACTTTATCAGATGCCATCGCAGGCTCTGAAGCCCACCGAAACAGCTCAGGGGCCCATGAACCATGAGATACATCAATGCCAGACCTCAACAGTCAGAGTTTCTCATCGATTCATTTAACCTTCTCTACAGGATTAATGATTTAGAAGAGTGTATCAGATTACTCTCTCAAATGCTATTGATTGAGAGGTGAAGCTCAGAGAACGCAGCCGTTACATATCAAAGCGGTACCCCATGAAGCTCAGCGGTGTAATTAACACCAGATGCAAGCGCTCCTACAATAGCGAGCGCTTTGCATATCTTATTTGGGAATATCTGCCAACAATCTGCAAAGTGTTTGGCGGTGGATGACTCACGGCTGCGTAGATCTGTGGTGAGGATGTGCTTGGCAGCGATCAGCAGCTCTTTCCGCAGGTGAGCCGTCTCAGGGGGGCAGTTAGACAGCAGCTGCAACATCCCCTTCACCATCTGCTGGGAGTACTTCCCAACCAAGTCCTGACACACACACGTTTCACATCGCCACATTAGTCACTGCTTGAGTATTAAAACAAGTTTAGAAAAGTTTAATAAACAGGTGGTTGGGCTATGTTTCTACCTGGTAGATCCGGATAATGTAAGCCAGGAATGACAGGGTCTTGATCTGTGCTGCAATAAAATCTGCATAAAGCTCCTTGTTGAACAGCTTGTGTTGCCTGTCACGGACAGAAACCAGGAAAAGCTTTAAATGTCACTACGTGTTAAATTGCACCTATGAAATCCTTTCCTGTGCATTAGTGGTGATGTAATACCACACGCTCAACAAGATGCGAGAGGTCACTGACCGAGCCTGTGGAGACACCTGCAGCATGATGGTGTTCATGATAAGAGGCACAAACTCCGACACCGCGTTGTGAATGCTCAGTTTGTACAGCTAGGGGAAAAAAAAAAAATCACACAGAAAAGCAATTACTGCATCAAATAACAGCAGGGCGATAGACAGAGAGTTGACTCGAGCTTGAAACATTGTTGCGTAAAATTTTACAACATTTATAAGATTCATGCATTCAGAACAGAAATTTAGAGTCGGACTCAAAGGCAAACTCCACCAATACGTCAAAGCATTTTAAAAACAAATCATAAAACCTGAAGATTTAAGACACTACACCACGTAATATGTTGAAAATTTTCATGGCATATTTCTGAAAGCAGTATCTGTGATTTTTGTGGGTCTTGCATTTTAAGCAGAAAATAGAAGTACACCTGCTGGTCAAATGTATAATGATAACATGTGGAGAAGGTGAAATAAAAGCTGTCAAAGTGTTTTGATTGATCGTAGCTTCCTAACAGCTGTGGACTGTCATTTTCTGTCTCAAAACATCAAAACTGATTTCCTTTACAATTAAAGCTCATAACAACAAAGGCAAAAACATCTAATCACAGCAATCATTTTGATAAGAGTGGCAGGTTTGAGGAAGCAATGGATTTAGCTATAAAGTATGGGTTTCAGATGACTGACAGCACCTTTTATAAACGAGCCAAATGTCTAAATGAGAGACGTGTACTTTTAAAAAGAGGATGGCTGGCATAAAGTCAATACTGAATGAGTGTTTTTATGGGCTCTCACCTGATACATGAGGACGACAATGATGGGCAGCTCTGCCAACACTTTGAGTGACAGCGATCCCCGGGGGATTATGGTATGCTGGAGGACAAAGAGGAGATGGATGAGGCCACTGAGAGACTGAACCAGTTGTCACCATAAAACTTATTTTTTAGCACTCATATTGATTTGCTTTTTGTGTTGAAGAGAATAAAAAAAATTTAAAAAAAGCAACTGCATTCCAGGACCTCTTAAGCAGAAAAAGCATAAGCAGGAATTCAGTGCCCTCTAGTGTCTACATATAGTAAATATTATTTGCATTGGAATACTCAAGTAAACAGTCCACAAAGACCCTGTTTACACATTTGTGTCTGCTGATCTGATCACAAGCGGTCAGCACAATATACATGCGTATTCAGGATTCAAAACATTTTGTGACTGAATGCACATATTGTGGAGGTCACAAATCCATGAGATAGAATTGTTTTTGTAGTATTAACTAACCATTTTGATGTATCCAAGACTGCAGTGAAAAACCATTTACTTGCCTGTCAATCACTGCACAAAAATAGTGTTTTGCCATTTATGAGCAGCATGTTTAAAAAGAAAATAACCATCCAATTGAATAAATTGGGAAATAAATTTTATTTTCTGCTTTAGCAATATACATTTACACACTGATGTGTCATTACCAGGTGTTAATCGGCTGATCAACTGTGATCAGATCACGCAGTACAGGTGTTACTGCATAGATATGTTAACAAGATCAAACAATTATACCATAATAACATTAGGTTACTTACTACTACTAGAATACTGCCATATTTTGTTCATTAAGACAAACACAGATCAACATTTGAACACTCAGATCTTATCAGTTTTACTTTCAGTGTCCAGGCTTATTGGTACGTTACAGTTCACTCACACACAATCACACATGCAGACACACAATCTTACACACAGTACCATTCTCTGGACTAAAGCACATCGCTCTCATCATTGTGTTTCTGCTGATCATGTTTGTCAAAACTATTCAGCTAATGAGGATTTTGTACAGGTCTGCTGGAGTTTGTACTGACCGTTCGGGTCTCGCTGTCCTCACGCTCCGGTGTGGTCTTCACTAATACTGAGGTGATCATGCCCACCATTTCTGGAGAAGGCACTGTGTTTTCTGCAATAACCTGAGGATTCTCAAAGTACCTCGTCTGACAGACAGATACACAAGTTCAGAAAACACATACTTTAACACAAACATACTTAAAACCCCTTTTATTTTTGGTTAAAAGACCTTACCACAACTTTTGGCAGTTCTTTGTAAATTTGCTTCACAAAGTCCAAGAAATGATGAATCTGTAAGAGTTGGCAGGAAGATGTTATTTAATAACATTTACTGAAACACAGGAAATGCAAATGCTAGTCAACATGACAGAGTGCCAGAAGGCTGCATCTTACCTCTTGAGAGATTGGCGGGCGAAACTGTTTGTGCAATTCAATGATGATGCGTAAACAAATGAGCACATTCTCCTCACTTTCAATCTAAATGATGAAACACAGAGGCATGAACCAATCAGAGCCATTTTTTATATAAAACATACACACACTCATGCACATGCACGCACACAATATGATGCATTACATATGTAAAATAAATTAGATTTAATATTCCTTTGTAAGAGAACTGTTTTTTTTTTTTTCATGTAGTTTGAAATGTTGTAATTTATTCCCATTATATGACTATGATTTTACTGTTTTAGTTTGTTTTTTCATTAAGACAAAACAATCAAGTTAGAATTCACACAGATCAGCATTTGGACACTCAGATCTTATCAGTTATGCTTTCAGTGCCCAGGCTCATTGGTACTTTACAGTTCTCACACACACACACAATCATTCACACAGTACCATTCTCTGGACTAAAGTACATCGCTCTCATCATTGTGTCTCTGCTGTCCCTCTTGCATGTAGTTACATATACAAATATTTGTCCAAAAATGCTCTACAGCCTTTATTTTATAGGCTCTTTAAATTAGAATAAGCTTGGCATTCAGGTAGCTGACCTCAAGGAAGCGGAACATGACAGAAAGGATGTTCTTGGCATGAGGCCGCAGATGTTCATTAGTTGGGATTCGGTGGATGATCTCCAGGACAAGTTTCCTTAATTGCTGTAACAAGAGTCAAAGAAACCTCATGTTTACTTAAATGTCAGGAATGAGGCCTCAATAAAGACAATATGCAATATGATTTTCACTAAAAAGCACACCTGCGTTGGTTTCTCTTGAAGGAACTGCACTTCTCCATCCTGCAGAAACGTTAGGAAACGAGGGATGATGTGCTCCAAGAAAGTAGAATACTGTGGCGAGGATGTGACATTCTGTGGACGAGGATTAACATGAATGAAATTGAGGAAGCATCTTTTAGCTCAAGCTTTTTATAAACAAAATATAAGGGCTCACCTCAAAATTCTCACTGACTTCCTGCATCATTTTCAGTTTGGTCTCATCCGCTGATGTTTAAGCGAAAGAGAATCACAGTGGTAAGCAGAGACGACGCTTTCAACTAACATTGCAACTTTTTAGTTGAATGGAATACACTCACGTGTGTTGTTGTCAGTGAGCGCCGCCACGAACTGCAAGTATTTCTTCATAAGGGTGGTCTGATCCACCACAGTGGGGCTCGGGGTGGGCACGAAAGACATGGTGGCGGCCGGGACAGACAGGATTACGCTGAATAAGGGCAGACTAATGTCTGCGCTCGTCTCAGTAGAAATTCATGTCATCTGTAGGAGAGTAACCATAAGGGGAACGTCAATATTAGTGTCAGCCTTGCACAAACAGGTACAGTATCGTATCAGATGGTACTATCATGGTATTTTGACAGATGCAGCGGTACTGAATCATTACCATATTCACATGACATGGTATTTACGTGATATTAAAGGTCAAAATGCATGGTAGTACCATCTAAACACACACACACACACACACACACACAGATACATTATTGCCATTTGACTTTGCAAGTAAACAACTTGTCTACATCACAACTGACTGACTGAAAACAATAAACATATATAGAGAAATTTGAGATGAATAATGACACTATATTGTCTGCTTTATAACTGAACTTGGAAATAGAACTGAATTGGTTTATAACTGAAGAATTTTTGCAACAAAGACGTTTCCCTGTTCATTACTGTAAGGCTGCGTACTTGCCATTGCATTTATATCAATTGCTCACAACAAACATAATGGCAAATAAATCAAAATCTCATCCAGCACAATTAACGTTACTTACAAAGTGTTTTATGCAGACTAGTTTATAAACTGACCTCTAGTTTAGGGAAGCGGTGGGCGCGCCAAACTGCAACAACACGCCTACTGCAGTCACGCTCGCTGACATGATATAATGCGCTCGTGCTAAAGTGCTAATATTAAAACCTAAATGAACCCCTCTATCACAAAGCTGCCATTAACACAGATACTTTCGCTTCTGGGAAAGGATTTACATGTGTTTATAATAGTATTGAGTAAGCTAGCAGCACACCAGGCCAATCACAGAAGAAAGAGAATACTGTCGCTAACTGCTAACCCACACCATGTCATTATTCACATGCAGAACTCAGGCTTTGCACTTTTTACCTCAATTAGTGCAAATATCTAAGGCGGTTGTCTTTCACACAAAAGCTAATAAGGAACTTCTCCACTCATTATGCATATAAATTACCAAATCACTCCCCAAAACAGCAACAACTTACCAGCAAGGAGACCGGAAGGAGTTGTAAAAGAACTTCCGCTACACGTATGAAATTTAGTGGAAGGGCTGAAATCAATCCGCCGTTGTTTTGTTTGCTAATTGTGTGAATTGTTATACAGTGTAAACTGTAACGTGCGAATTTTATGCTTTTGTACTAGTCTTTCTCAAGTGGAATTGGGTGTCACAGCCTTGTCCTAAGCAGTGATTCTCAAATTTAGACACCAATATAGTTCCACGCGGAAGGATACCAAGAGAACGCAGGCGTGCGAAGACCATCGAAAACGATGGTCTTTCCCGTTTTCATTTAAATTGGTATATAAAGTGTTTAATGTAACTTTATCACACCCCAGTATACAACATATTATTTTAATAATCGATTCAGCGCGATTTATAAATACTACATTTGTTTATAAAAATGTGTTATCGACACGTTTGTGTTGAATCAGGTTTATATGATACACTACTGCATAAAACGACATTAAAATGCTTCACCAGCTGCAGTGATGTGCGTTTTTTATTGGATCCAATAATGATTGTGATCATAATTAACCTCTTAAGACCCGGCAAAACATTTTAGGGGAAAAAATGTATTTTTTTGATGTCATTACATTGTTTAGAGCATTAAAAAATGTAAACAAAAAAAAACTACAAAATTATATTTCATTCATAAGTTATGCTACGCCCTTGGTAGAGTGCATCGGGACTCAATTTCTTTAAAAAATAAAATGACATGAATGAACATGCACAGGCAAAAACAATTGATTTTTTTAAAATCACCAATACATTTTTAGTTTTCAGGATTTTTTTTTACCATCTTTGTATAAAGATAATTCTCAACTATGTTATAACAGAATGATTTGATATACCATTTTTCTTCATGCAAACTGTGTGTAAAATGGCCACAAAGGTTTTCTCAATTACAAAATATTATCATATTTCCATAAGAGTGTCACTAAATTAATATCAGACATTTTGTGGTCATGGTGAAACATCCAAACATTTAGTATCTCTGAAAAGCCCTGAAGGTGCTCTGAATAGGACATCCAGACTTAAAACTGTGGCATGTATAGTCTCAGAGAAATTCACTAAATTCACCACTTGGGCGAGTTTTAGTAGAAGTAGGTGATAGAAAAACTGAAAAACTCAAAGAAACAAGGTGTATTAATCCCAAAAGGACAACACATAAAAACATCAGAATTTCGTGGAGGAGATAACGAAATATCAAACAAATGTGGCATCTGCAAACACATGATGGATGCTACATTTCAGAGCTGTCTTCATTTTTTTTTCTATCTTAATTTGCCATGTTTGTGATTGTTTTGATTTTGACAACTGAAATTTCAGTGGATGTATGAAATCAGTTTTCCCCAAGTTCACACAAATGCCCTATGCAGGTGTAATCACATTAACAATGGACAGGTTCCTGTAACATTTGACAACCAGAATTGTTTTGTTTTTATATTAATATTTTGCATTATTAATATTTATATTAATATTAAACAATATTTTGTATGAAATGTGTGCTATCATGCTTTCATTTTGATAAATGCCACTTGGCATAACATTTTCTCATATCTGCAGCCAGCACTAACTCGGATATAAAATCAGCACATTCTTTAATAAAGTCTGTATGGTGCCCTGGTGGCCTGTATACAGTAGCCAGTACAAACGACACAGGGGATTTTTCATTAACACTTGTTTCTCTGGACAATGTTATATGAAGCACCATTACTTCAAACGAGTTATACTTGAAGCCCGCCCTCTGAGACAGTCAAAATATATGACTGTCATTACATGAGAAAATGTTAAACCAAGTGGCATTTCTCAAAATGAAAGCATGATAGCACACTTTTGTTTTGTTTTGATAAAGTTTCGTGTCATCTTGTAAGCTATTTCCATTCATACTAATTAAGTACAATCACAGCAGTGGTATCAGATGAAATCCTGGTGCAGCTTCAACAGCCCAGATGGTGAAAGGTTACATTATCATTTCAATAGGCCCTCTGCTGGGCTGGGAGCATAAAAGAAGGAACAGATTCCTGTCCCCCACTGAAAATGCAAACTTATTAATGTGATAGTTTTACATGAATTTATAAAAAAAAGTTGTAATGTAATGCAATAAAGTAATGCAAATGAACCCTTTTTACATTTCCCGGTTTGGTCAGAAAAAAGAAATGTGTCAAATTTGTTGTTACTCCCTCCCTCAGCCGTTGTATAAGAAACACTCACACACCAGCGTTAACCAGTTTTCTGTAATTTAATGCCAAAGTAATAAAACACAAAGTACAGTGTTATAATGTGGCATTTAATTTAAAAAAATTAAAATATAAAAAACTGTGTAAAAATGTCATCATATTTTGTGAACAGAGTCCATTTCCATTCTTACACACTGCTGAGAAAAAATGGAACCTAGGACTGATTGTTTTCTACACCAGTCTAAATATTAAAGTCATGATAAAACAGAAGTAGTGATGGATCTTTTTTGACATACATCTGAGTGAAACAGCTTTTTGATTAAATCATTGAGACATTTTGATTAAAAATGATGAGGTCAAAACAAATATTTAAAAAATGAAACATGCATTGATTAATCACTCACTCAGATATAGCTTGCATTTAGAAAACAGATTTTTATTTCACTTTAAAAATGACTATGCATCATTATGCTAAGTTTCTGATGTAAAGAAATTGATTTAAACTAGAAAAAAATTCAATCTAAAGAATATTCGGCTGTGAGGGCACAGAGATGTTCACTGAACACCTGATGACTCACATTCTGTTGTAAAGAGGGTCACAGGTTCACAACACAAATGTGTTTCTGCTGTGTTTCTCTCATCTTTTCAGTTTAATGAGCGTAGGGTATCAGACTCATAGTGTAATATCTGGATAACATTTTCTCTGCAGTGTGCATCAGCTCATTTAGATATGTTTTGTGAAGGCCTTGTTTATTCACTGGCTTTTACGTTTCTCATAAACACGCTTGTATAAGATGTTATTAGTCATGTAAGTGCTCTATTCATGGGCAAGGACTAATGTGCCGCTTCTTTGAAATTTGTATCTTCAGTTGTATTTTTGTACAGTGTATCCATGTGATATCAGGCTACTTTTTAATAAATCATCTAGAGCATTGGTCCTGTGGACAGCTCTCAGCACTGCATATTTTAGATGTGTACCTTATTTGATAAGTCCAGTTTAGTTCATGTGCACTCTGCTAATGACCTGATGAGTTGAAGCGTAGAAGACTTCCCAAAGATTTCCAAACCTTTTCATCGATGAATCACCTAGCGAGGTAAAAACAATCTTGGGACCCACCAAAAACTTGAAATATGAAAAGAGAAAAGAAAATGCATTTGTTCTTTTTTAGTTATGAAATAACTTTAAACAAAGACATGACTGTGAATAGGCCTCATATAGGCCAATTGTTATATACAAATAAAGATAAAATATATTGTATTCTTGGTGGCACAGTATGCAGCCTTGGATATATTAAAGAAATGATGATAATGTAACTTGCAGTGAGTCATTGATTGATTTAGTATCTGCTCTGATGCATTCTGTGAGTTCATTCAGTGAATAACCTGTGAAACAGGTTCAGTTTCAGGGAACCGGAATGGTTGTGCTGTATTTCTTGCAGCTCACGGGTAGCAACGCAAAGTGCTGTACACTGCTGTAATCTGTGCCACACTTGTCGTGGTGCATCATGTCAGAAAAGTCATACCCTACCTGCAATCAACATATTTTCAGTTTAAAATCAGTTGCACTAAAGCCCAAAGAAGGACATAGTTTATTTTCTATGCATTAGGGTATGTGCTCAGTGTGTTTGACATAAATTTGGTCATCAGCATCTTTTTTTTTTTTTTTTTTTCAGATTCCTGCCTCATGTAATTTATAATTAAAAATTTTTTCCTTTGCATATTATCCTGCATTAATACAGTGAAAGTTCAAAGCTGGGTACAGGGATTGGGGTTTGATGCCGAAACATTTGACTGACAATGATAGAAACGTCCCTGTTGATCCTGAGATTTGTTGTTTGCCTAAAACCTGAGTGGCTGTACTCTGGTTAAATTTAGCATTTGTACAGTGGTTTACCAATGATGTTCAAAAATAAATGTCTGAACAAATGACTGTCCAGTGATAATGATTTTGTACTGAGGTAAGCCTGACCTGTACATTTAGATGGGTGTCTTTTAGGGTCTGTTTTCTGTTCCGTTTTTGTGCAAACCAGTTGGGTTTTGAAACTGTTAAGAGGGAATTGATCGATAGATTTGAGACCCATGCTGTCATGGTATGGGCTTGTGAATTATCTTTAGCACTGTCTGTGACATCCTGTGGTGCTGTTGACTCAAGTATGTTTTTTGTGTATTTCAGAAATGGGTTCCGTGAGGGAACCGTGCCCAAGCCCCGTCGGGCTTTTTTTTTTTTGTCATCCAAAGAAAAGCTGTACAGGATCCAGGACCAGGATTTTTTATGTTGAAAATCTAACACAATTAAGTGTAAGAGATAAAATAATAAGGATATTTTACAAATCTCACTGAATTCGGGGTAGTATACATTGTATCAGTTCATAAATTCCTGGAAATAGAACTTGGCTTTGCTAGTGTCATGCTTTATACTGTTTGATTAAAGTCTTGACCAAGCCTATTGGCCCATTATACCTAACATCACCATAAGAAAATGCACAGATGATCTCAACATTAATAACTAATTCTCTTTTTACTGTTTTTACTGTTTACAGTGAATTTATAACAGCTAAGGCGGTTAGCTTCGCGTCGTGCCTAACAACACCCCTTAGCTGTTATAAATTCACTGTAAACCATGCACGGCTTCTTGGGGCTTATTGCTTTAATATGCCACTTAAAGGTGGGGTATGCATTTTTTCAAAAACGCTTTAGAAAACTGAGTCGGGCCGAATACCAAAACAAACTTGTAGCCAATCAGCAGTAAGGGGCGTGTCTACTCATGATGCGGAGGAGAGAGCGTTCAGTGCACCGGACATTAGCCAAGCCGAGCGACGACAGAAGGATTTATTAAAAGAAGGCTTAGGATAAGGCAAGAATTAGGACCCGTGTAAATATCGGATCGGCGTGTCTACTCATCTCGTGATGTGGAGGAGAGAGCTTTCAGTGCATGGGACGGACATTAGCCGAGCCGAGCGACAGACAGATAGAGATGGCGGATAAAAAAAACAAAAGAGGAAAACGTCTGCGGAATGATAAGGCAAGAAGTAGGACCCGTGTAAATATCGGATCAGCTTTCCAGCGCTGGAGAGAACTCAAGGAGCGGAAAGCCTGTGATCGGACGCTGAGGTTGCTTTGTTTCTTCTCGATAGGTGAGCAACATCGTGTCTACACCGGACATGCAGCACAGCAACAGCTAAAAAAAGTCTGTCTACACTGGACGCGACAAAGCGACCATTGAAAATCATTTGAAATTTGTGTCAATACGTCATAAATAGAACGCAGCAGCAGTTTTCTGTCAGGAATTTGTCGTGCCGTGCCACATCCAGCGTAGACAGCATCATTGATTATAATGAGTAATATAGTATTTTGTCACGCCGCTCGTGTCCGTTGTAGACACGGTGTAACATTGGTTTTGCTTTGTTTCACAGAACTAATCGTTGCCTGGGTTGCGTACATATGTGTGGGGCGGAGCTATCAAAATAGGGGCGAGACCCTTTTGGGGTAGGGGCGTGTTTGTTTTGGTAAAATCACTTACCCCACCTTTAAGAAGGTCTCTACAATTTTAATTGTAAAATACTGTAAAAATGCAGTAAAAATCCATTAATTGGTTAACAATAAATAAAATACAGTACAGTTTTTGGAATTGAAAAAGAGCAAGTAATTTACAGTAAAAAAAAAAACAAATGAAAATTCCAGTATTCCTTGTGACATTTCACATTAGTTGGTCTTTCACTGAAATAAATTTGTTTCTTCATATAGGCTTTTGTTATCAGTTACATTCGGGTTTTATGTTACATTGGTAACACTTTACAATAAAGTGCCATTGGTTAATGGTATTTAATGCATTAACTAATATTAACCTAACAACGAGCAATACATTTGGTACAATATTTAAAATTTCTGGTTATTATTATTTAATCAAAGCACAAATATTCACTGCTAGTTCGTGTCAGCTCAGGTCCATTAATTTTAGCAGACACAACTTTTGATTTTAATAATGCATTAGTAAATTGTTGGTGGTTGTCAGTGTATTATAAAGGTTAAAAACAGATTTTAGTATTTTAGTCTTTTTTATTCATATTTAGTCATGTTAGTACTTCAGTAGGTTGGTATCAGTTGTATGAAATGTTTTTTTTTTCACTGTAAATCTAATTTCAATCCTAAAAGCTAACCTTCTGTATTTTTACTGTACATTTCTAGCTTAACTGACAAATTTCACTTCTTTTTTTTTTTTTTTAAAGTGTGATTGTCAAGTAATGAACATTTGTATCCATTTAAATCGGACACATTCTAGTATTAATTGCGCATTGTCCCTTTGACAGTATGTTCTTACCAGCAGCAGGGAGGTGTCAAAGTTCTGCCAGGCTCAGCAATACGCTTATGCTGCTCCCGGCGTCAGTTTTCTCTGCAGTGGCTCTGGTGAATAGCTACATTCTGGTCATGATCCTGTTAAACCTCTGCTCCTCAGACCAAAGGCACACCACGTTGAGGTACATAAATCAGCATTGATATTTTTCTTCTACTTATATTTTTATATCCATAGTATTCTAGTTCTATTTCTTATATTTGTTTTTAAAACTTTGAAGCTATATAAGACATTTTAAATTAAAAGTTAAAAATTGACAGGACCATTGATTAACCTGGCTAAAACTATCTAAAGGATATTGTTGACTGCTCCCAGCAGTGTGAAGCTTACTAATCCTAAAATGCGGCACTGGCTGTTTTGATTTCCATTTTACTGCAGATGACACGTGACCTCTCACAGTGACCTGTAAAACTAATCTAAATCTCATTTAACTTCATCTTGTCCACATACGTAGTTACAGAACAGACGTAAGCTATAGAGTACAAACGAGAGTGTTCAGTTTAAAATCATTTTAACCATTTAGAACTGAGCAGGCGTGCAATCATACATGACCTCCAAAACCCTCCTGATCAGACAGTAGAAGCTGTATCTAAAAAAAATAATAATAATTTAAAAATAAATAAATAAATAATTTACAGTTCAAAAAAACTAATTTTGAGGTAAGAAAGTCCAATTTGATTTGCGTCACAGAACCAGTACCATCTGAATTGAGTTTTCTTTGTAATTTGCAACATAATTTTTATATAATATTCACAAAAGCGTTTTATCTAAATGTTTAAGTGAACTAGAAATATCATGTTTAAGCATATGTGGAGGGTTTGTAACACTACTTTCCAATGTACTTCTACTGTGAGACTATATTTCTAATGTACTTCAAATGTGAAAATGACTAACACACACTCACACTGTCTGTTATGTAGTTTAGAGCCTATGTTGTATGTATTGCTTTTAGTTTCCAGTGGGGGTGGTAGCTATTTGAGGATGGTAATCATTATGTTAACAATTGTATTACTGCAGTTAGTTCACACACACAATTGAATGTCCATTTTTATTAGTGTTACCATAGGTTGTGGACTATGTCGTTGGATAACAATGACATTTTTTGTCATTGGAAATTTTTTTTTTAAGAATAAGTTTTAAAATTGAACATTTAACTATAACAAATTTATATGAGCATGCTATCTCAATGTATACAGCCATTTAAACAAAATGTGCCACCTGCTATAAATAAAATCCCAGAATCACAGACCCAAAGCGATAGGTGTTAAAATACTCTCTTGCTAAAGTGTTGGATTAAGGCTGCTTGGTTTTTTTTTTTGAGGAACTTTATTTTACAGCTACTCTAAGGGCCAGTGACGTTAATACTACATCCAATCAGATTCATCCAATCACTGACGTTCATTTGTTGACTGTGTCGCACTTGTAAGCACAGCAGCGCTACTAGCGTCAGGTGTTCAAGGGCAGGGTATCATAACTAATATCCACGAATTAAAATGTTTTACTCGGTATGTGTAGTTTAAGATAATTTTTGCGATTAAACACAGTATTACTTTGGCATACATATTATTGAACATCTCCGCGCGCCTTTATTACATCGCACCAAAATGCTTCATCTGCTCGCCGGACTCATATGCATCTATGCACTGACGTGTGTAAAAGTTGTCTATGGACAGAATGAAAAAGGTGAGCGCTTTCTATGTACTGCAGTCCCCATTGACAAGGATACAAGTTGCCCCGTGCAGTCTCTGCCTGTTCAAAGCGCATCGGTCCAGGAGGAGGAACTGAGAAACACCGTCATGCAACTTCGCGAGACCATCTTACAACAGAAGGAGACAATTGTTAATCAGTTGGGAACGATTAAAGAGCTGACGTCTAAACTGTCACGGTGCGAGTCTGACTCCGAAACATTTAGGAAAATGAATAAAGACACAATGGATGATGTGCCTAAAGATCCAAATGACACCATTGACGTTCTTGGAAAAACCATGCAGATTTTTTTTTCTTTTTACATGAAGTGGTCTTGCCATATTGGAAGCCAATTTTTGGAAACCACAGCTTTTTTGACCGTATTAATTAATTTGTTTGTTTGTTTGTGTATTGCATTTCCATTAATTATCAACAATTGAATTTCTTAAAAATATTTGTAGCTATTTACTTACCTGTGTCATTCAAAAAACATTTAACCTAGAGATCTAGTGATTTTGTCCCTAACGGACTATGTCGTTGGATAACAATGACATTTTTTGTCATTGGAAATTTTTTTTTTAAGAATAAGTTTTAAAATTGAACATTTAACTATAACAAATTTATATGAGCATGCTATCTCAATGTATACAGCCATTTAAACAAAATGTGCCACCTGCTATAAATAAAATCCCAGAATCACAGACCCAAAGCGATAGGTGTTAAAATACTCTCTTGCTAAAGTGTTGGATTAAGGCTGCTTGGTTTTTTTTTTTGAGGAACTTTATTTTACAGCTACTCTAAGGGCCAGTGACGTTAATACTACATCCAATCAGATTCATCCAATCACTGACGTTCATTTGTTGACTGTGTCGCACTTGTAAGCACAGCAGCGCTACTAGCGTCAGGTGTTCAAGGGCAGGGTATCATAACTAATATCCACGAATTAAAATGTTTTACTCGGTATGTGTAGTTTAAGATAATTTTTGCGATTAAACACAGTATTACTTTGGCATACATATTATTGAACATCTCCGCGCGCCTTTATTACATCGCACCAAAATGCTTCATCTGCTCGCCGGACTCATATGCATCTATGCACTGACGTGTGTAAAAGTTGTCTATGGACAGAATGAAAAAGGTGAGCGCTTTCTATGTACTGCAGTCCCCATTGACAAGGATAGTTGCCCCGTGCAGTCTCTGCCTGTTCAAAGCGCATCGGTCCAGGAGGAGGAACTGAGAAACACCGTCATGCAACTTCGCGAGACCATCTTACAACAGAAGGAGACAATTGTTAATCAGTTGGGAACGATTAAAGAGCTGACGTCTAAACTGTCACGGTGCGAGTCTGACTCCGAAACATTTAGGAAAATGAATAAAGACACAATGGATGATGTGCCTAAAGATCCAAATGACACCATTGACGTTCTTGGAAAAACCATGCAGAGTCTGAAAGATCGACTGGAAAATCTAGAGGTAAGAGGTTTTATTTTAGCTGTATAGGTTTTGTCATGTTCTGAATAAATACGCAGATTAAATGACTAAAATCACATGTGTGCCGGAAGTTTCTCTGCCACGACTATTTTGGTAATTATGTGGAGGCGTTGAAGATTTAGAGGGATTATCTCATTAGTTAGTACGTCTCTATCCCTTAACAACAAATGCCAAAGTTACTTACGATGCCCCAAGCGACAAAATGTCTGGAATGTGTCAGTGCCACTTAAATGTCAGGTGTTAATCTGAATGTGTGAAATGATGGAACGAACGCTAACTCTAATACAATAT